TCCTCATATAGTTTATTCAACAAGTCATAGGACTTGTATAGTGATCCATTTATGGTTCTTTGACAGTTCAGTTAGATTATTTTTCTGTGCATAAATAAATTTGATATAGTCATTGGATGTTATTCCTCTTATGCTAACATGAGTTTTATTTTGAGATTACCATAGATGAGGCTTCCATGTCGGTTATTTATTGGAACTTTTCTTCCTCACACACTGTATAACTTTTAACATGCCTATCAATGAAGTAAATCTTTGATCACTCAATTGTCCAGTATAGTTTTTGAATGGTAGAGTACTTAAGATTTTGGGTACCTGTGTTTTGCATCATTGGTATGATCTGCTTGCCCTTTTGTTAAAAGAAAAGTTCAACTTTCTCTGCCAAGTGAACTGGTAGCAATGTCCAAGTTGCTGCTTTAGCAGAATCTAGAAATAGACTGCATTGCGGTATTCTATTGTTATTTCATGTGATCTTTTTTGTTTTTACTGAATAACTTACAATCTCTAAGTTATAATATTACTAAATGTTTTATGGTTTCCTCTGTCTGCATATTCCGATGTATGACTGTCAAGAATTTGTATTTCACATTTCTTTTTGTTATTTGAGTTACTGGGAATCTAATAAGGATCATCACAGTCCTTAATCTGCTACCTGCTTTGTCCACTTCCGTTTGGTGAAACTAAGTTGTGGCAAGGCTAAAGTGGATGTGAACTGAAGTAGTAGATTCAGAAGTAGTTCGAGAACATCAGTGTGCTAATGCACTATGTTAGATGATAAAAATGTTGCCTTTGGGAAAGTTACAGGTTCTTGGCCGTGATATAACAATCTAGAGTTTGGCAAGTAAAAGGGAGGCCAAGTGATATTTGTACTATCCCCTGCTAAGTACTTGAAGCTTCTTGCCTCCAGCTTGAAACAACAACCTGATAGAATAACTGAGAGCTTGGCTAGGATGAGATTTGACAGCTTTATGTGTCTGAGAATTGAGTTGTGATAAGTAACTTAATAGTCCCCTTAGTTTTTTGTTCTATTTTTATTTGTAAAATACTACAAGTCCAACAATTTCGGCCCTCACTTTAGATACGATATTTGAGTTAAAAGTTTATTATTGCTATTGAAAAATAGTCATGTATTTCCTGTCATTGAGGTAACTTATGCAACATTACCAACTTTCTTTGACTGAAGAAGTTACAGTCTCTAAGGTAGATTGCTAACAGTGATAGAACAAAAGCTATCAAAAGTAAATTTTAGTTTTTGACTTTTTGGCTAATTTTATCTAAAGTTACCCACACCCTCGAACTTTGTAAGAAAATTATCCATGCGTCAAAATTGAAATTGAAAGACCATATTACCGAAAAGAAAAATAAAAATAAAAATTGAAAGACCACAAAATTAAAATAAATCAACCTACCTTTTCCAAGACTTTCATGGAAGCACATGATATATTACACAAGTACTAATTTGATGTTCTATTTTGTTTTCTTGCTTTTTGATAGATTTCTTAATCATTTTGTGAGATACTGTATGTATTAGGATAAGCAACGTAATAATCTCATCAAAAAAAGTATACTTAACAAAGTCTTATAAAAGCATGTATCTATAACTATTACGCGTTAAGATGAATTATTACTAATATTTATCGTAATAGAGTTAAATAATTTTAAAAAAGCACGCGACATGTATCAACCAAGAAGCGCAAGGGCATTGTTGAGCGTGCTGCACAATGGGACGTTGTTGTAACCAACAAGTTGGCCAGGTTGCGTAGCCAGGAAGATGAGTAAGGCACTTGATAGGTCTATGGTGAGGTGTAGTAGGATATTTGCTTTTGCTATTCAGAAGCTTGAGTGGAAAACTTCTGTGGGAATTTTGTTTGGTCTATTTTTCTGCTTAGGTGAACACTATTGCAGGAAACTACTTAAAACTTTTCATCATCATAGCGTATCTTTCGAGAACCTTGCTTTCAATATTTACCTTCTTTTTATATGCATAATTTTCTCTTCCCCTTGATTTTTATTTTGAAGATCAGTCATCTGAAGTGTGATGGCTGAAAATATGTAATTTTGAAGATCGGTGCATAGAAAGATCGGTGCATAGAAGAAAAAAAAAGTTCACAAATTATTTTGAAGAAAAAGTAATTTTGAAAAAGACCTAGTCCAAGTGACTTTTTTAATATTTTTAATTACTAAAAGGGTTTTGAAAAATTCTTGTCCAAATGCATTATTTTCCAAAAAGTATTGTTTTAAATTTTGGTTGAAACAAATTTTTCTAAATAAATTTTCAAAACACTTGTCTAAATGGAACCTTCATTTAGAACCAAAGATCGAACTAAAGTCTTCACTAAACTTTTACACTTTGTTAGTTTTAATGTAACTAATTGCAAAACGTTTGAACAAACCATATTTTCTTTTCTTAATATCTTCTTAGACTAGTATTGTCTTGTTGTGCAATACACAACTTTCATCATTGTATTGTATATTGTTTTAAAAAATTCAAGTTAAGATGTCATTTAACCTATATAAAATGGTTCTCAGCAATTGTTTGAGATTTTGTTACGAGTTGGTTGGTTAGATTTTGAGAAATTAGTTTTTTATTAGAATTTTGAATTTTAGTTGCGGACGAAATTTTATTTTGTATCCTAAATTGACAAAATGCTATTTCGGTATTTTTGGTTGTAAAATGGTTCTTACAAAATGCCAAATGGCTTTGTGACAAGTGCTTAACTTGTTCAAAAAAATAAAAATAAAAAGTCAAGTGAAAGTTCTCGTGATAAAAGTAATTCATGCAATAAACTATTTATATAATTAAAATATATGTTCTCTTTAATGTAAGATCTCTACCAAGTTGTGAAATTAAAACTTAATTATTTCAAACTTTAAGAAAGACATTCAAAGTTTAGAATGAAATTTTTTGTCAATATGAAAATACTACGAAAGGAAATAGAGAAAGAGAGTTCCCAATATACGTTTTGCGCATTATAGCTTCGAATTCCCTTGTCCACTTAATCATAAGCCAAAAGTTACATTACTAATTAGTAACAACTTATATCAATGGTGAATAGACAGGTTTCAACAATAATAATAATAATAATAATAATAATAATAATAATAATAATAATAATAATAATAATAATAATAATAGTTGCTGACTCATAATCATGTCATTTGTTACCATATATTACTCTATCTGTTAAAAAAAAATCATTATTAAATACTGAAATTTATTAAAAATAATATAAATGTTAAAATTCAATGTAAATTACTCCCTCTGTCCCAAAATTATTGTCCAGTTTGAGATTTCATTTTTAGTACAATTTGAACTAAAAATGAAAACCCAAATTGGACAATAATTATGGGACGGAGGGAGTACTTTTTAAGAACAAGAATAATATTTTTCAATACGTGTAAAATTTTATCTTTTTCATGTAATCCACTCGTGTAAAATTTTATCTTTTTCATGTAATCCACTTCCTTTCTTTCTTCTTTTTTTTTTTTTTGAATTCAAACTTCATTAAAACTCAAAAGTACGGCTACAATTATCCAACATGATTAGTTTAAAGACACATTTTCACTAATTTATTTGCACCCTCAATTATCTCCCTGCCTACTTTGATATCATCACATTTGTGAAAATTCGAGATACACAACCTAATACTTTGATATCATCACATTTGTGAAAATTCGAGATACACAACCTAATATCATCTAGCAAGGGTTGTAAGTACAGAAGGCACATTTTGTCTTCCCGTATGTAATCCACTTTCAGTTATTCATAACACTTGCTCCTTCTTGTTTCTTGTTGATAGACAAAATATTTGCCATTGAATAATCCGTTATTGGTTTTGTACATGTAACATTGCAGTATAAAATTGGTTGATTTGAGTCATTTGACCCAGAACTTTGTACATGAAATTCCACATAATAATAATAATAATAATAATGATGATGATGATGATAATGATAAATTGAAAAAAAAAAAATTCATAACTTCTAATATTTTGGAGGTTATTTTTTCATTTTTAATATTATAGAAGAGTTTTTGTGCAGAAGTTTATTATTTTTTATTTTTTAAATTTTATCATTTTTTGTGTTAACAAACTAACGGAATAACCGTTAAAATTTTCAAAATATCGGCATTTGTTGAACAAAAATGGTCATAAAATCAAAAAAATTCAGATGAAACTGAATTTTGAGAATTCTTTTATGGCTAGGTGGTTGAAAATTGGGATAAAAATCCACCATTTTCTGGATTGGTTTTGAAATGTTTAGTAGGAACTTTAAAATAAAAGTAACTATCTTCATTATTATTTTTCGTTTCTTCTCAAAACAAGGAAAATGTAGTACTTCTTTTGTCCTAAAATTATTGTCCTTTTTAATTATATTTATATTAAAATTGAAAATTCAAACTGAATAATAATTTCGGGATGAGGGAGTATATTTTTTAATGAGTTTCACCAAATACTTTTATTTAAAACTCAGGAAATTGTGTCAGTTCTAATAAACCGTTTTCATTTGAATCTTTTCTCCTATGAAGCAGTGCAAACAAATTCTGTCTCCCTTTCTCCCATTGGCTCAACTATAGGTCTTAAATGTGTAAATTTTTCTAGGTGGATTTCAGCTCTTAGAATTTAAAAAATATTGTGTTCGTTTCCTCAGTTTCCATTTTCCAGTGTGTGTTTGATCAATGGTAATTAGTTACGACATCCGCATGGATTGCTCCGAAGAATTTACGTTTGGGCATTCTGGGCATGTTCCGTTAATCAGGGTCTCTTTAGTTATCACACGCAGTTGGTTTGGTTACTGTTTTTTAGTAAAGCATGCGAATTGTGAAGAGAATTCGGTTGCACAACTTCAGGGAAAAGCTGGCTGAGGAATGGTTGTTGTTGGTGGCGTTAATTATATATCTGACTCTGGGGTTTTCTTGGCTTGACCTCTGTGGGGGAAAGGAGCCCACTTGTTGGTTCTTGATTAAAGTATTAAGCTTTCTGAGAATTTGAAGAAAGAAAGAAATGGGATCAATGGTAAATACAGTATCTCAGTTGGGATTGATGAGTTCAGCAATGAGATGGGATTCTGTAGGTGGGGTTAGAATTAGGACTAATTGGATGAGAGCTTATGGGTATTCTTCTGCTGGGGTGAAGAGAAAATTTGGGTTTTTGAGGGATTCTAGGAAGAGGATTGCAGCATCTTGTTTTGAGGGAAATAAGGAAGGAAACAGTGTCCCTAATAAATTAGAATTAGAGCCTTTGTGGAATGATGAATATGGCACTCAAACTGTGCAGGACTATGTTGAGATTGCGAAAGAGATGATTCTTAGGCCAGATGGTGGACCACCAAGGTGGTTTTGCCCCATTGAATGTGGATGTCCCCTGAAGGATTCACCTGTTCTTCTGTATTTGCCTGGTAATGTTGGATGAATTCTGTTGTGATTTCAGTAGTGTTACTCAAGAAAGAAGATGTGCAGAAAGAACTGTAATAATTTTTGAATTGCTTCGACTATGAGAAACGTTTGAAAAGATCTACCAACAAGTTGTCTTGTCTTTATTCTTGCTCTTGCAGGAATTGATGGACTTGGCTTGGGTCTCATTTTGCATCATAAGGCACTGGGGAGGTAAGACTAAGTTCATTGTGGCTTTTAGAGTTCAGTATTTTGAGGAAGTCAACTGACCTTTAACTAAATGAGATGAACTAGAACACTGATATTTCTAGTCTTCAATTTTCAACTGTATTTCATGCCATACATAGCCTTTATTTCTAAAAATAATAAATAAAGAATTTAAGAGGAATTATCTGCACCTTCCAGTATCCCAATGATTTTAAGAGGTTTGCATGAATACAGGGCTTTTGAAGTCCGGTGCATGCACATCCCAGTTAACGATCGGACTCCAATCGAAGGTCACCATTTTCCAATTTTCATATGAATGCCATTGCTTCCAGATATTAATGATAGGTTGTTAGTCTTTGTTGAAAGCAGGAGAAAAAGACTCACCAAACCTAGTTTTGCTGTAATAAATTGCAATATTTTATGTGAAAACTCCTGAAATAGGGTGTTGAAAACATGAAATTACTGTCCACTAGCATGAACAGAATTGATACTTATGTCAGTTTGATAAACTGCGAGAAATCCTCAATCTAGAAAATGCACAAATGTCGTTAAAACCCTTGCATTTCATCTGGGATGCAATAATCAGAGAAAATTGTGCGAATCTCAACTCTTGTTGCTTGTATTTATTACTCTTGCCTTCTCGCATGTTCTTCAGCCTTTAAATGATATCCAAAAAACATGCAGGACTCGTGAGCTTTGTTGAGAATGCTGTTAGGCTTGAGAATAAATCTTCTGGTAGGAAGCCAATATATATAGTTGGTGACTCTTTTGGGGGATGCATTGCACTGTCAGCTGCTGCTCGTATTCCTACAATTGACCTGGTTGTAATATTAATTAATCCAGGTTCTTCCCAGATTGTATCTTGTCATTTGCTCATATTTGTCTTATTGAATTCTGTAGTCAGTAACAACTCAGCGGCACATTTCTTATCATGTTATCTATTTCACTACTTGCAATTATTCATCTATTGACTCGTTCTGCAGCAACATCTTATAACCGATCAAAACTTCAATACTTGCCACCCTTGTTGGAGGCTGTACCAGATCAAGTCCAGACATTTATGCCTTATCTTTATGGCCTCACTTCTGGTAAGTTAGGTTACAGTTTTCTCTGCTCTAAATGTATTGTATTCGGGTACTGAGCATGGTGCAGCGGTAAGAGCCGCTGCGTGGTTACAGATTTGAGTAGCATAAATAGCATCTAATAGAAATATAAGACTATGGGCATGGTCTAATTGCCTTGTCCTTGCCTGGACCCTTCACAAGGAGCTTCTATGCATTGGCTTACCTCAATATATTATGAGTTAAGCGGATGTTTTGAGTTTCAAGTTTGTAGGTTGTTGGATTATCTATATTGTTGAAGCTAGTAATAAATAAGGAGTTATTCATGTACTTTTACTTTAGATCTGCTAGCTGTTATGACCTGGAGCAACTTAGTTCTCACAGCCTGTTATATGCCTCAGAAGCTATATCTGCACTGAAGTATCATATCGATCACTACTATTATAGCTTCTAATATATTAGTCAATTTTCTTCGGGAAGCAGTAAGTGCTTCTCATAGAGGAGCAAAAGTAATAATGACGGGGCTTCCTATTCCTTTGTGTATCTTGTATAAACCCTATAAGTTAAAGGAGCAATTAATGAGTTGATGGAGTTTTGAGCCACAGTCCACCGCCGGTGCCAAAGAGCTTAGTTTCCACTTAGTCACGCTCCTGGTCCCGCTTGTCCTTCCTATTTGTATAAGCTGTCAAGAAGGCATATTACTGGTAAGTTTTACCTTCTTCACCTGGCATCGGTAACCTCCGTCATGGCGTATTCATACCCATCATGGGAAGCACCTATCAATCAAGTCCTAAGCAGTATCGTATCTCAATTCAGATGTTGAATTTTGAACAAACATTTATTTTTCATTTTGAAGGAAAACAACAGAAATGTTTTTGGTGTTTGGAACTCAGAGCAATACTCGTTCCTCTGCTTTTCTGTCGTTTAATTTCGATTCTTTTAAGGAGTTGGTGTTAGCATTTCCCTTTTCTCTGACATATACGTATCTTGGTTTTGGTCATGATCTAGGTAACCCATTTAAGATGGCAGTGGTAAATACAACTGGGAGCTCTCCTACATTAATAATGGAGCAGGTTTTTAGCAAGCTGACGGCCATTCTACCTCATCTTTCCGTAAGCGCACCTATATACCATTCTTATGTTTTTTCATGACCTTAATATGTTATTTTCCACTTTTTTGCTTTGATCTGTGGTCTTTTTACCCATTTGTTTGCTAATTCAAACACTTCAGAAAGAATGAATGTCAGAATTTTAAAATCTTATGATGTGTTCTCATATTATTCTTTTGATAGTGGTTCCACAACTATATGCTTTTGCAACTTCCCATTACAATCCTCTTTACATCCTTTGAAGGACCTGGCTGATATTATCAGCATGGATTTTTACGTATGGAAGCTGAAGCTGCTTAAAGCTGCTGCTGCCAAGGCAAATTCCCATCTCCATGCCGTCAAAGCTGAAGTTCTTATTATGGCAAGGTGTATGAAACAATGTGCTTGCGTATATTTCCTGTTCTTTTTGCTTGACAATTCACCAATTGCTAGTTCCACCTAAGGATTTATTTAAAACACAATTTTCTGCTCTAAATATACCGGGCTATTTGAGCTGAAAAACCGCAAGGAAAACATCAAGGTTCCTTTCCCCTTAAAGGCTTAAATACTGCACAGAAGCAACTACCACCAGGAGTTGGAACTTTTCCATCTTGCATCTCTCGTGTTCTTTCTTGATGTTCTTCTTAGACAGTGCTTCTTTAGAAGAAGGCATGTGGCTAGTTAGTTGCATTATTTTTACCTTGTGCTAATTTACAGGACCTTTTGTATCAATAATGCTGACTTGTTGAACATGTACTTAACATTGTGCAAAAAAATGCTTCAACTCTAACAATGGTTAAATGCTGCTTATAAAGGAAACTGTCTGAAATTGTGTTCTATGAAAAAGTCAATAAAATACTTTTTTTTTTCTGGTTGCTAAGTCCTCCAATTGACAACATCCTGCCACTTTCTGTTACACTCCTGCTGTCAATTAATCTCTTGGTTTTGTATGCTTTTGGAGTTTAGTGGCAGGGATTATATGTTTCCGAGTGGAGAAGAAGCAGGAAGACTCGTAAATTCTTTACAAAATTGCAAAATGCGATACTTCAAGGACAATGGCCATGCCCTTCTAATGGTATGCTTTCTAATTCATGCGTATCTTAAATTAATACTTCAAGCTCATGGATAGGTAAATTTGGAACTACTTGACTACTTGAAGTTAAAAGACAACCCGATTGTATTTTTCTGTCTTTTCATGTTGCTTCAACGTTAACTTTTGAGTAATTTGAAGGACTTTATTAGCCGTTTGACCCTGTAAAATGCTCAGAGTTATTTGGCAGAATCATGTTATCATTAATTTTACTACTCAAGCCCTAATCTCTTACACTTGGAATATTAATTACCAAACCAGTGGATGCATCTATCATTGTAGAACTATTAATCATCCGCCATAAACTTTGTGATTAACTCAGTAAGGTTCAGAAATTAAATTTTTTAGACAAGTTTTCTGAGTGGTCAGCGATTGGAAACAAAGTTTTGAATGAAGGATGGGGTTCAGGAACAAAAAGCTAGATAACTATGTCAAACCTTTACTAACAATGGAAGCGAATGATGCGCATGCATTTTAGGCCATGGAGAGCTCCAGTGAATTGGTGGTGTTCCCGTTGCTGGCAACACCAATCGAAACCAATTATAGGGCATGCACCATCCCTTACAGATTCCCGTCTGACAACCCAAAGAAACCCACTCTCACTGAGCTTTCATGGATCAATCTTCTTGGCAACTCCATTCCTTCTTTCCGGAAACGGGCCGAAAGTGATGATTCTGTTCCGGATGCTCCTGCTAGGGCTGAAAAATTTGCTCAAAGGTACTCTGAGATATTGGAGGATTTGAAGAATGATCCTAAAAGTCATGGTGGACCACCTGACTGCATTCTTCTCTGTCAGCTCCGTGAGCAGGTGCTTCGAGAACTTGGGTTCAGAGATATATTTAAAAAGGTTAAGGATAAAGAAAATGCCAAGGCAATATTCTTATTTGAGGAAGTTGTTCTTGTGAATGATGCCATTGAGGACACCAGCAAACGCATAGAGAATTTAGTCAGAGGGATATTAGCTGGAAATATTTTTTATCTTGGTTCTGCTCAGCTTGAGGAGTTGTTCTCAAAAGATGGCATGTCCTTTCTTGCTAGTAGTCAAAACCTAGTACCTAGACCTTGGGTGATTGATGATTTGGATGCTTTTATTTCTAAATGGAGCAGGAAATCATGGAAGAAGGCTGCAATATTTGTGGACAATTCAGGCGCTGATATTATTCTAGGGATACTCCCTCTTGCCCGGGAATTACTTCGTTGTGGCACACAGGTTGTATTGGCGGCCAATAAATTACCTTCTGTAAATGATGTGACATACCCCGAACTGATTGAGATTTTATCAAAGTTGACGGATGAGAAAGGGATGCTTGCTGGAGTAGATACAGCAAATCTATTCCTTGCTAATTCGGGTAATGACTAATTCGGGTAATGATTTGCCTGTGATTGGTCTCACAAGAATATCTCAAGCGCTGGCATTTCTTTCAAATGATGCTGACCTAGTTATTCTGGAAGGGATTGGACGTGGCATTGAGACTAACCTGTTTGCTCAATTTAAATGTGATTCCCTTAAAATTGGAATGGTAAAGCACCCTGAGGTTGCTTGGTGGAAGGTTGTATGACTGTGTATTTAAATACAATGAAGTTTTAGCATAGAAAACCCCCCATTATACTTAGTGTACTAATATCATCAATAACAATTTTTTGGTTGGGTAAAAGTCGTCAAATATGTCAATCAATTTGAAGTTTGGTTACTTTGACTTACTGAATGTAGGAATCAAGATGTATGGTTAACTGTTGATGTTGGGATGGTAGTTGGAACATATGGTTGTATGAATAAAATCTTACTCTTTGGACCTTGAAAAAGAAAAATGAAATGGAGGAGAATCATCTATTTGTTGCTGTACAAATTTTGTGTTGATCACAACGAGGATTGTAAGTACAATTCATATGATCATTGGGTCCCAAACCTCTAAACCTAGGAGTGGTAGGGAAAAGAATGACTTGCTGTGGCATCTGAATCATTAGCTGATTGGGCCCTGGAAGCATTAGGAGCACTGAGAAAGTCTCGAGTTGGATTAGAGTTTTAGATTGCACTTCACTTTTCTCTGTAGAATGAGCTAGACACATGTTGGTTGACATGAGAGCTATCTTAAATCTATGTTTATTTGGTTTCTTTAACCACTGGAGAGGTTTGGTTTAACCAATTGCTTAATCAAAGATCTATCTACATCAGTTTCTTGAATATGGCGTGCACTTCACTTGACTGATGTAACTTTAGTTTGTCCAATTTTCTGTTTCCAATTGTTTCTAGAGTTCAGCATCGTGTCTAGTTTGCCCAATTTCTGGAAATATTTAACCGCTCTCTCCATTACAGTTCAGCTGGACAAGTGGTGTAATTGATTCCTGGGTTACCTAGGCTGAACATGATTTGCAACCTTTATTCAACCTGCAAAATATCTTTAAAATCTCATCATAATATTAATGGACCAAATATTTCTAGGTCTAACACCATAATAGGAGCAGCCATGTCATCATCATAAATTGTGAACTTACCCCAGTTGGGAAGGTTCCTTATTTCACCTTAAAGCCCAATTTTCCATCCACCATGGATGTACATCCTCACTAATTAAGACATGCAGAGGAATTCATTTGTTTAAAAATGTTATATATGTGAAATCTGGACAGAGTTTGTGTTTGAAACAAGAGATTGGTGTTCTTACTATTTTATTTGAGTTCTGAGTACACATTTAGTTTGTTGTGAGTTCTGTGGAGTCTGATAAAACATCACGCATGCTGGAATATTTATGGATGAGAAGGATTGCAGGAATAGCTAGTTCTTTTTTCTTGTCAATGTCGGTTGTAACTGTGGATGGTATGTTTAGATTCAGAACCATGCTAAAAAGTGTGTATTTGCTATGCTTTACCTGTTTTACATGTCAAATTGTTGCTTTATTACTGTGATGTAACTTTGGAACTGTTTGCATCCTTAATGGACTGGGCAGGAAGATGGTTTTAGTCTGCTGACAATCATTAAAGGATCAGGAACTTACCGGCGCAAGAACAAGCTTGACATTGTCTCAGATTTTCTGCCTCCAAGTTTGTCCGAATTCAAGATTTGCTTTGATAAAAATCTTGGGTACTATTGATTTTCATTCATTATGAAACAATGTACATTAGATCTAGATTGAATATCAACAATTTATGTGCACTAAAACGAGTAAGCTTAGTTTGAACAGTAGAGATAGTTTAAGGTTTCACAAGAGATGATGCAGTTTCTGCAATCTTTTCTTTCTGAAACCAGTTAATGTGACTTTTAAAATACTTAACTTTTTTACAATAACAATGTCAGCGAAAAGGCAGTTTTTAAAATCTTCAGCTTGTTCAGTTAACTTCAAGTTTTCTACCTTTTCATTTGTCGAGATTGTTTTCTTACAAATGATAATAGTGTATGATGCATTATATTGAATAGAAGTCCCTACATGGTAAAGTGGAAAGTACTTTCCAGAAAATAAGTTTTATATTTAATTTAAGACTTTGGATATTGAAAAGACGGGCAAGAAACTAGTTATTTGGAAACTATAATGCAGGTCAACCAAATAAAAAACTGTAATGAAGAGGTTGAACTGAGAGGCTCTACTTTGCCTTTGCTTATAAGTTTTCCTTAGATATATAAGTGGACACATCTCGGTTTATCTAGGTTCCTTTCAAGCATAATAGTTTGCTCACCCCTTAAATTGCTAATTATGTGAATGGGAACATTTTGTCTATTAACATGAATGATGATGTCCTATGAGATTTTGCTCCAACTGTGGTTATGTTTTTTCTTTTATTGATTGATTCAATGGAATGCAGATTCTTTCACTTTGCTGTCAGTCCGGTGACATACTCGACTCTGCATGACGGAAGCATTGTTAGGGGTCTTAGTGGAGTCCCACACCAAGGACCAGTTCTGCTTGTTGGATATCACATGTTCTTCGGGCTGGAAATTAGTTCATTAGTTGAAGCATTCTTGAAGGAGAAAAACATTGTAGTTCGTGGTATGACACACCCTGAGATGTTCACTGAAAATTTCCGGTCAATGTATGATGAGTTTTCCGCTTTTGATCTATTCAGAGTATTTGGTGCAATACCTGTCTCTGGAAGTAACCTTTTCAAATTGTTCTCTAGCAACGAACATGTGCTTCTCTATCCTGGTGGTGTACGTGAGGCTTTACATCGAAAGGTACAGAGAACGCATATGTCCTTTAATTGGGTCAAAAGCTAGATGATCTTGTTCCTTGTAAAAGTCAGATGTTCGTTTCTGTACTAGTTGATTCAAAGAGTGTTTGTTTTGCATGAGATCAACACAGAATGACCTTGAAGAAAAAAACACAGAAGTGAAGAAACTAATGTGGTTTTTAGACTCTGCATCTAGTGTGAGTTTATTATCATGACTCATGACTACCTACTCAAACAAGAGGCAATGTTTTGACTAGAAAACCATATATTGTAGTTCTTGGACCGATAAGAAAGAGCTCTATGATCAAATTAGGGCAGCTTGTCTCTCAGTTACCATTTGTAAAACCCATAACATGTTCCTTTGGCTTTCTAGAACTCCCTCCCTTAATCCTTTTTCACATTTTTAAGGCCGATTCGCCTTATCTTAGTTTCTAATATCTTTGATGGAAGATAATTTTCTTGATCTGCTTAACATTGTTTACAGCAGATTTGGTTTAATTCCCTGACAGAGCATATTGGTTATTATTTTTGGTTAGACACCATAAGCAGTTCAGATGGAACGAGTCGATATCATATTCTTCACACTCCGTTTCTTTTTTTCGTTGACTACTTCTCTGGTATTCAAGGCCATCCTTTCCATCTTTTGGAGTCCTTATGATCATACTTGACGTATAATTTTTAGTATTACATATACTTTCTTGGTTGAGTTTATGGCTTTAGAAATCGAGATTTTTTTTTCCTTGAAAATATCAGGCCCATATCTTTACTCACTGTGTGGACTGTTTTCTCAGGATGAACACTATAAACTATTTTGGCCTCAGCGACCTGAATTCGTGAGAATGGCCATAAGGTTTGGGGTTACAATTGTACCTTTTGGAGTTGTTGGCGCTGATGATCTTATGGGGGTAAATTTAAAAGCTTATATTATTCAGTTTGACCTCTTAATGATTACATTCTTCAAGGAACTCAGGCATTCTACTCAAAATTAGGACAGTTTGTTCTAATGAATAAGAAACGAATAAGGACTGAACATATGTATTCCGGCTCCACAGCCAAGTAATTTGATGGCTAATTAGTATCTGGAAGAATATTGTATAGAGGATTGGTTTCCATGACTTTTGCTCATTGGGATATTCCTAAAGTGGCAACTTGTATTGAAGTATTCACATGGCTTTAGGAACTATGGCTGTGTGACCTGAAATCATGAAGTCATGCTCTTACAGAATATAAGGTAAAAGGCTTCATGTATTAGGCTTTGAACGCCTGATATTATCTGGACCCTGTCACACATGGGAGATTGTAGGCTGCCGTTTCTGTATTCTCCATAGTTGAAGATTCACCACCAAATTTACATCCACTATGATGGTTTTACTCAATCAGATGGAATCGGTCTTTTGAATATTTAGTTACATATAATAGATATGCATTATAAATTTTCCAAGAGTAATTTAGTTGGGTTTTCTTAGCTACTGAGCTCCAAACACTGTATCGCTTGTGCATTGCTCTGTCGCTGCCTTTACCTTTAGTCTGAGGCCTGGTTTTCAATATCATTCGCTTCTACTATGTCTATTATCCTGTAATACTTCTTAATCATGTTTCGCAATTTCACAGATATGCTTGGACTACGATGAGCAGATGAAAATTCCAAGTCTCCGTGAGAAAATAAGACTGCAGAACCTAAAGACCAAAAAGCTAATGTAAGTTGATGTATACCATGGTTATTAACTGATGAGCTGTGATTTTTTCCGGAGTTATAAAAAGAATATCCTTTTGCGCACTCTGGTTAGTATCAAATTCGTGTCTAAGATACTGAGGTCAAGTCTTATGTATCTGCTTCCAGGAATCGAACAGTACTAGAGGGTGAAGAGATCTCCAAGCAGGATTTCTACGTCCCAGGCTTCTATCTGAAGAAACCAGGACGATTTTACTTTCTGTTCGGGAAGCCAATTGAAACAAGGGGCTTCATGGAAAGTTGGAAGGATGAGGAATTGGCAATGACGTTATACCTGAAGATAAAGTCTGCAGTTGAACAAAATATGTCATATTTACTTGAGAAGCGAAAGCAGGATCCTTACAGGGATATCTTCGCAAGAGCAGCATACCGCGCCATTTCAAACTCTTCCAGTGATATTCCCTCCTTCGAGCCATAAAGAAAAATCACGAAGGGCGATTTCATGACACGGTGGAAATGACGAGAAAGTTTTATGAAGGTTGTTGATTTATGTAGTCATCACTCATCAGTGCATGGTGCTTAAAACATCTTGTAGTTAAGCCTTCTCCTAATTACTCTGTTCGTGAGATGAAATTTATCCGTTTTAAATCATCTAATGATGTTATATTTGGTGATATAAACTCGAATGCATTAATCTCCATGTAATAAAATTACGTCATTGAGCACAGACCTTTAGAGTGTATTGTTTTAGTTCAACAAATATGACTCCCGTTCGGGTTATAATTTCAAAGCTTGAAGCTCTCATAACCCCAAAGTCAGTGAAGCTAGTCCAAAAGCAGAAAAGCCAAATGAATGTCACTTTTTTCTGATCACTTTTTCCCAGCATATCGGATAAGAAATCTGATAGAATTGATGCGCAAATATCACATGCCATTGTTCTTCAGGCCAACCTGAGCTCAGAATATTCAGTTTTAGATTGGGAGGCACCGAAATGTAGAGGGAATATCCACGCATTCAAGCTTGTGCAAGAATGATGTCTGAGATAATTAGGAACCAGCAGTGGTGACTCAGTCCCAAAAAAATGGATTCCCAGACAGGAAGGCAACTGATTCTTTGAAGACTGAAGTAATAACCGTTTGATTCTTGCTTCTGGAGATGATAAAGTTTATTCACACTTTCATCAAAAGTGACTTAAAAGTTATTCCAACTTATCCAGTACTACACTGGTTGCAATATCTAGTGAAAATTTTTACTGTGTCGAATGCAGTTGTGGCGATTTCCCATTAACAATAAGGATCGATTCAGGATATTAGGGAAATAATGTTTGAGTGAGATCAAAAGATGATTGGATTCCCAGAAAAATATCAGCAGGGAACCTTAACTAACAAAGACTAAGAATGCAAAAGTAGTGATAAGAAGAAACAGTGCATTAGTACAATACTACTATAAAAGGGAGTTAGTTGCTTATACATTTTCAATGTGCAGCCTTCTTGAAAAAGAACCAAAACTTTTCACTGAGATCCCTTGAAAGGCACAAAACAATAGAGTCATAGACACACACACACACTCTAAAGTCATCAAGAACAACTAGCTAGCTCCATGACTACAGGACACTACTCTGCCAATTACCACCAAATTGACTCATACGGTACTGATACCAGCTGGATGAACACGAACCACGCCACGATGGGCTACGCTGATCAGGTACGCCGCTTTACGGATTCTGATGAGTACGAAAACCCGATTCTTCAGCATCTTCAGGGCTATGGCACTGGAGGAGGGTATGTCCTGAAAACCGAACGGGTGGTGGAGCACGTAACTCGTGCCCCTGTTGTTAGTATCATGATGACTAAGTACAGGCCATATGGCAGTCCTGATCATGAAAAGGCAGAGAAGTTCATCAGGGACTATGGAGCAGAGAGGCGTTTTACACGACCTGGAGCGATTCATGATCCTCCTGTGCAGAATTTCCTTGCCAAAATTCAAACTGAAGCTAGCCAGCCAATCACTAAAGTCTCTGCTCCTTTCATCAGGCCTAATTGGCGGGCTCATCCAATCTCATCAGGAAGACAAGATGCTGATCATTACAAAAATGGTAAAACAAAATATGACAGTGATGATGATTATGACAAAGACTTCATCAAGGATATCCATCATGGAACGAAGGCAAATCCAGTCTCTGCCACCAACAAATACAACCTTTATGAGAGGCCTAATGAAGGCCCTGTGATGCAGAATCACACACCAGTTAGCAGGCCTATAAATGACATTAATGATGGTGTTGAAATACTAACTGGAGGCATTAGGAATATTCAACCTGATGTCAACAGGCCATCAAGGGCTGGCAATTTCGGGCTTGGCCGCTGGCGCAATGGTTATAGAATGGACTCAGATTCTGGAGATTCAGACTCAGTGAAGGAACAGAAAACTCATGGGATGAACAACAAAGATTACGAAATGCCAGAAGGTAATCATAAATCTGTTTCTAAACCCTTTGGAAAGGCTAATTCTTTTCCATTAGCTTCTCATCATCAGCAGCAACAGCAGCCACGTTTCTCAGTTCCTCAGAATCAACTCAATGAGGTAAACTCTTACTCTGAATCAATTGATAGCAGTGAGGCGCGGAAGAAATATGGCAAACTGAAGCCTCAGGCCGGACCGATCGATCCGAAAGCAGGAACCATTTCCAGTGAAGATCTTATCAAGAAGTACAATGGGGCCAAAGTTCCATGGTGAAGATCCAATATATAGCCCCTCCTGGCTAGCTGGCTACCTTGGACAACATTGCGCAATAAGATTAGTATATTTGCTTTCTAAATGCAACCATGTAATCTGTTTGGTGTTTTCTTGTCTTTGGTTCCTTTCAACTCAATCATCAAGCTTTGTGTTGGGGTATCAAATGATTGGTGCTTTTAATTTCTATGTAATGATCATCAGATGTACCTAAATATATGCTTAATATGAAATGCATATTAGCTTGTCATGATTTGTGAGTCCAAACATATGCTTTTCTCGTACCGAAATAATTGTCCAGTGTGATTTTCATTTAGTACAAATTATTCTAAAAGTGAGAATCAAGATGACATCTTTTTAAAAACTTTCCATGCGACATCCCCTATTTTCTACTGAGACAGGAATGTTGGTGTCGGTTTATCTCTTGATAAAACGCAATCATTCATCAATAGATATATGAGTAAAATCGTGTCTTCTTAGTTTAAACTTGTGTTGTATATTGTTCCAAAAATATAATTCACGAAAATATACTATTTTTGTTAGAGACGGAGGGAGTACCACAAATTAAGTCTTCTGGATAGGAATAATACATATAGATAATTATTTAATAATTGAAATATTTGCAGGTCCTATATAGTACAAGAGAACCCTATCCTTGAAGGTTTTAGAAACATTGAGGATATGTATTTTATGCTAGCTGCAAAACCTTTTACAAATACCAAAAACAGATGCATAATTGTACGACTAACTAATCTCTTGGGCCTCAAGGAAACTACGCTGGCAAGGAACTTGGCTTAGTTTTCCCTAAATTCTCTGTATCAAAAGCCATTGAAATTAGCTTGGAAGATCGACCTGGCAATAATAACCACATTAATATCGGCAGCGTTTTCCATGGCGGACATCTGCAAAATCATGAGAAGATGCCCTTCAGAATTGCCTGAAGACATATTTCATAAAATACTATCTTTCCTCACAACCAAAGAAGCGATCCAAGCAAGTTTAGTATCAGAGTATTGGTTCAGGGCCGTTCAGACACTTCCCGATTTGGTTCTGGATCATAGATCCATCATCAACGAAAACCGCATCAGTTCAGGTAACAAACGAATGGTCACCACTTTGGAAAATAGGTTCAGAAGTGAACTCAATCACATTATCTCCACTTTACAAAGGTACCGCCTTGACAATGTCAATCTTCACACGTGCAAACTGCTTGTCGATTCCTCCAACTTTAGACGTTCGTACAACGGTCTCATCAACCAATGCATCGTACTCGCCGCGAAAAAGGGTTGAAGATGCCTCCATTTATCCAATGGAGGAATCTTGATTGCTTTCCCTGTACAAGTTTTCGTAGGGGAAACCCTAGTTGAATTATGTTTGGAGAGGTGTACTTTGAAGTACTGTAAGAGATTGATGTGGCGCAATCTTAAACGTTTGGATCTTCACAAGGTCGCGTTATATCAGTTGATGTTTGAGAATATACTTGGGAGATGCCCTTTGATTGAAACTTTAAACATTTATCGTTGTGCTGCCTTAATTGGTTTACCGTTTTATATGCCGCCATCTTAACACCAATGTCTGAGGAGTTTATCGATTTCTTACATGAGAATCGACGACACCTTTTTTCAGGATTTGTGCCACATCTTGAAGATCTAACAATCCAAACCTGCATCAACTTGGACAGAATCAAAATTTCGTGTGAAACCCTAAAAAAGTTAGAGTTCGCCTCTAACCAGGATTAGAGGAGGCACAATTTGACGTGCCAAGCATTGTCCTATTTGAGTATGAAGGAAATATTCGGCCGAGTTTTACATTTACATCTACTTCGAGTACTAAACTAGATGGATATCTCACCTCAATTTAGAATGCGATCCATATACAGACGCTTCATGGTTCTTGAAATTGGGAAAATTTACTTATATATAACCTAAAAAAATTTTGAAGAACAAAATACATCTAGGTTTTAAATTGTGGCCAAAACTAAATCTTTCGCGCTTCAAACACACGAAAATAAGCAAAATCGCGTTTCAAAAATGCTAAAAAAAAAATTTCGCGTTTTGAAAACGCTAAAAAACCATTATCGCGTTTCAGAAACGCTAAAAGTAAGATATCGTAATTAATTTAATTTAATCGTAACTAATTAATGGTAAAAAAATTAATTAAATAAATATTCGCGTTTTTAAAGCTCAAAAAAAGTAAAAAAGAATATTTTATTTAAATAACTTCACAAAAATCTGTCGAACGACCCATAAGACATAAATATCCAGTCCATTATACTGGAGTCCAAGTCCTGAACTCTTGCTTATTAGGAGTAATTTGGTCATTTTTGTCGATGGGATCTGATTTGTAACATGATTTTTTTTTGTGAAGCCGGGGATCGGATTTGTTGATTATTCCGATTTACATCTTTATATTATACCTTCCCCGAAAAATTTCGCGTTTTGAAAACGCTAAAAAACCATTATCGCGTTTCAGAAACGCTAAAAGTAAGATATTGTAATTAATTTAACTTAATCGTAACTAATTAATGGTAAAAAAATTAATTAAATAAATATTCGCGTTTTTAAAGCGCGAAAAAAAAGAATATTTTATTTAAATAACTTCACAAAAATCGGTCGAACGACTGAAAAGACATAAATATCCAGTCCATTATACTGGAGTCCAAGTCCTGGACTCTTGCCTATTAGGGGTAATTTGGTAATTCTGTCGAGGGGTTTAGGGATTTGTTCCTTGATGTTTTTTTTTTTGTCCACCAAGAATAATTTGTTGGTTAAATCCACAGAATCATCAGAACTCTGGATTTCTGAAACGCGTATAATTTGTGGGTTAAATAACTTCACAAAAATCAGTCGAACGACCAAAAAGATATAAATATCCAGTCCATTATACTGGAGTCCAAGTCCTGGACTCCTGCCTATTAGGGGTAATTTGGTCATTTTTGTCGATGGGATCTGATTTGTAACATGATTTTTTTTTTGTGAAGCGGGGGATCGGATTTGTTGATTATTCTGATTTACATCTTTATAATATACCTTCCCCAAAAAATTTCGCGTTTTGAAAACGCTAAAAAACCATTATCGCGTTTCAGAAACGCTAAAAGTAAGATACCGTAATTAATTTAACTTAATCGTAACTAATTAATGGTAAAAAAAATAATTAAATAAATATTCGCGTTTTTAAAGCGCGAAAAAAATAAAAAAGAATATTTTATTTAAATAACTTCACAAAAATCGGTCGAACTACCGAAAAGACATAAATATCCAGTCCATTATATTGAAGTCCAAGTCCTGGACTTCTGCCTATTAGGGGTAATTTGGTCATTTTTGTTGACGGGATCTGATTTGTAACATGATTTTTTTTTTTTGTGAAGCGGGGGATTGGATTTGTTGATTATTCCGATTTACATCTTTATAATATACTTTCTCCAAAAATTATGATGCTTAATAAAATAAGTTGAATTTAAGTAATACTAGGTAGTACGTATGTAAAAAGAACAAATTTGATCAATAACATGTTCTGTTTAAGTCAAACTAAGTATCTCATAGGTAAACACAACAAATTTGATCAATAATAGATTTCATTAAAGTAAAATTAAGTAGTACATATGTAAAAAGTACAAATTTGATTAAAAAACAAAAAGTTTGACCAATAACATATTATAATTAAGTAAAACTAACTAGTATATATGTAAAAAGAACAAAATGGTCCATAAATGATGTCGTTCAAGTGAAACTAAGTAGTACAATGTTAATTATTGTTATCAGTGTTCACTAATCACATTATTATTTTGAAATGATTTTTATTTAATGTCATTGACACTAAAGTGAAACGTCATTTTGGGACCGAGAGTACAGATTCAAAATTGTGTAAAATACCATACTATTTGGGTTAAAATTGAAATAAAAAAATTATTATTAAGGGTGTAATTGAAAAAAAATTCAATCATACGTGGTTCAAATAAGAAAAAAAGTAAAAGGGTGTCAGTTTATAAATATTAGGGTGTCTATTTTGTAATAATCACAAAACCTAATCCCCCTGAACCCAACTCACTCCTAAACCCAAAACCCGAAACCCAACCCCCATAAACCCAACCCATTCCAAAACCCAAAATCTCTACCTACCCCGAAACCCAGAACCCAAAGACCACTCCGGAACCCAACCCCTCCAAAACCAACCCCCAAAAGCCCAATTAATCCACCCCAAAACAGTCGAGAATCCATGAATTCATGTTTAAGCGTTTGCAAAACGCGAATGTTGTTTTAGCGTTTTCGAAACGCGAAGATTGATTTTTTTTTTGTCAATTAATGTCATTTATTTTTCTTTCCTTTTTTCCCGGATCAATATATTAAAAAATTAATCAACAAATTTAGCATATCTAAAACACGAAATTTGTAATAGTGTTTATGTTTTTATGCGTTTTGAAAATGCGAAATTACGTATTTGCTTTTTCAAAACGCTAATATTTTGTCCCAATTTATTCTATTTTTTTCCTTCATTGTTTTTCCGGAACAATATTTTAAAAAATTGATTAATTACTTTAGCGTTTGTGAAACGCGAAATTTTAATGTTGAATATGTGTTTTTGCGTTTCCAAAGCGCGAGAAGATTAGAAATGTCCACTTCCTAAACCCTAGAAACATTTTCTCCCACGGTTTTGGGTTTGAGACACCCTAAAGTCAAGCACCCCTTGAAATTGAAGGAGCTAGACTGGATAGGTCAGAAATTCGAATAACTACTCTTTTTGGAGATAATGTAGGTTTCGATTTGAATGAAGCGACCAATAACGAAGCCATAGTTTCTAAAGTTGAAGAGATTGCAGAATTTCGTGTTAGGGTTCCATCAAATGTGGTACATCGGCAGCCATCATTTTACAAAACATCAGCTCTTGCAATCATCGACGGTATCTTTTGGACTTGTCGACCTCGTGTGATAACATCAGATTTGCATTATTGTCATGGATTCACAAAGGTGGCATATGATCAAAAGCTAGGGTCATTAGAAAATAACAAACCGGATAATTTCCGTTCATCACAAAGTAGGTTTTGGCAGAACAATTTAAAAAGTACTGAGGTATTCCATCGCAGATTGGGTCAAGACATACAGCTGGATAAAACATTGGATTGGAAGAGCTTGTGGAAGGCAATACAAGCTCAAAATCATAAAGATTCTCTTAATTTGCTTCAACTTGGAATGGGAATAACTTGTCCCTTTTCTTTCTTTTGCCCAAAATATGGCACGAATTAAAACTATTTTCAGTATACTTATACTTGATTCAGGTTATTAGAACTACAAATCAATATTCATTAGGGCACGAGCCACATCACTGAAGAAATTCAACTCTTCAATCCACTCGATGGGAGCTTATTAGAACTACTAGAACTAGATGTTTCTAGCGCTTCATAACTTAAGAAATGTTTCTATCTTTTATTACTATTTTTTTTCCGGTATATATGGCACGGTATCCATCGTTATCCTCTTGCAGAACTGTGAAAATGTTGATTAGGAGGACAGTTAAAGTGTTGTTCGTCAAATGCCTGTGCAACTATTGGAAATTGTCACATTGGATCCCTAGCTCCATGTCTCCATCAATTTGAGTTTTTCCTACTTGGCTGCATTTTGTGTGTTCAAGTGCATCGACCTATTTTATGAAACTTAACAATTTGCCCAGCTATTACAAAAAAATCGTTGATTAAATAGAGATTGAAAATTTTGTATTATTCGAAATTCATGTTTAAATTTACAATAGTACAGAAGTAACAAGAACGTCTTCACAAATGTTTCAAATTAAGATAAATTCTCTTTGAGAACACTAAACAGTAAAGAAATTTGGATACATGTGCGCTCAACTTTTGAAAATTAATTTTTGCAATTTAAATTTTCAAAACTATTTTTTTTTTAAATTTTTTTTTGTATTGTTTGGTGGTTCCTTTGAAATCAGTCACCAAGCTTGTTCACCTCCTCTTTATGGACTGCATTCTTTTGCCCAGAAAGAAAATTAGGGAAACGGAATCTCATTTCTAATAGAAAAATAGCCATTCATTAAATGAATCTTTCATGATCTTTGACATGTTTCAAATATGCATAACAGGAATTACTTGACGATTGATATATATTTTTTTAACATAGGTGTGGGAATAAATATACAAATTTTAAATAAATTATAAATAGAAATTAATTTTGCAGTCTAATGATTAATGAAATAAATTTGCATTATCGTATCAACATTCTTACTTAAATCTCCACTGAAAAAAAAATCATTTCAAATATGAATTAACGCTCGACAAATTAAGTAAAATATGATTCAAGAATAATTCTACACCCATTTATTATTTAACTAATTATTTGTAAAATAAAAATTAAAATAGAAAAATTATTTTGTCCTGAATCTCCAAACTTTTTTATATATAGTACTTATCTCATTGTTTGCCTGGGTTGATGTTTGATTATTTGGTTCACGGTTTTATTTTGCAAGAATCTCAGTGGAAATGTATGAGGAGTTTATCAACTTCTTGCATGATAATTGATGATCAATTTCTCAGAAATTAACATATAACAGATATTTTAGGTATAAATTTTTTTGTATAAAAAATATTTAAATTTGGTATTTACTTATTCTAAAAAGATATGAAACATTACGAGTAAATGAGGTACGCGTCTTTTTCATCAATAAATTTATTTACATCTACATTTTTGTCTTTTTCTATAAGACTTTAACACTCTATAATGAAGATTTTTAATATTTTGTACCAAGACTCTTATGTATGTAAGTTGAACTTGACATTCAACATCTTATAAAAAGGTGACCTCAAAGGAATATAAAAGAAGAAAGTTGACATTTGGTAAGATGCATCATTGAGTTCATCTGTATTTTGTTGAGTAAAATGTTTGTACACCTCACATCATTTCATGATTTGGTAGTACTATCTAAAGCAATCTTTTTTTAAAAGAAAAAGGGTTTTTCAATCTTAAGTCTAATTTGACTCTTATACTAAATACGTCACCTCAAAATGAAACTTTACTTGATTAATGAGAAGTTACAAACTCGAATTCCACGAGCAGCAAATATGTAACAATCTCTTCTCTCCATTCTTAAAATCATAAAAATCATTAGAAGTCTCGTATTCCCCTGAAAATGAACAATATATGTAAGTCTTTTCTCCCAAATTTTCTTAATTGTTTAGTATTTCTCTATCCAAAAGTAAAAAAAAAAAAAAAATTCACATTAAATTTTAAAATTTAAATTGTTTTGAATTTAAATTTTAAAACTTACTGTGTATTATTTTTCTGGATGGAGAGTATATGTTTACATTTTTCATGTCAAATGGTCCATTATATATCATTCAAACAACCTTAAACCAACCAAATTGTTGAACAGAAAAACACCAAACAGAAAAAGGAAAAAGAAACAGGAAATATTGTTTGTAGCAAAACAGAGCAAAGCAAAGGCAAGTGGTCCATTTTGACCAAGAATGAAAGCAATTATGAAGAAGAAGGAATCACCATCACCATCCATAATAATACCATGCAACCAAAAATTGATTAATTTAATCACTAGTTGTTACTGAGTAAGTAGCAGTGTACAGTAGTAATAAGTATTATTTATCAATTATCAATACCCATAAATTATTGAAATTAATTTCCTTGGTTAAAAAAATTAATTAAATAAATATATTAAAGACTCTCCAAATCTGGGTCAGCTTCTTTCTGTCCAAAAGTCCGATCGCTTCTTCTCTTTCTCTGCTCTCTGTGATTAATTTCTTCCTTTTCTTTGTCCCACCCAATAGAACTTATAACACATGTACACACTACAAAGTCTTGCTCTTTCTCTCTCTATAATTCAACTCTGAGCTGCCACCATCTTGCTTGCTGATTTCTTGCCACCATTTTCATTCCTCAGATTCAATCAGGTTTCTACTAATCAACCCCAGTTCTGCCTTTTCTTTTGTGGCAATTGCATGTTTATTGGAGAAAGTTTTAATTTTTATTGGTTTCTCGATTAGGGTTTTTGGAATTTTTTTTTTTTTTTTTTCTAGTGTTGGTTTGACTTGACCCTTTTCATTTTCCAAGTTGGGATTTTTGATTTGGGACTTGGGTTTTCTTTTTGTTGTTTTTAATTTGTGTTTCTTTGTTTTTTTTTTTTTTTTTGGGGGGTTTGATTATGAAGTTTGACTAATTTAGAGTGTGACTGTTGATCACGGTTTGGATTAGGATTGAACTCGTAGTATAGTTTATTTGGTTCCCCACTGTTCATTTCTGTGGTTTCCTTTTGGTTTCTTAGTTTAATGGGACTTTTGGATTGTGGGTTCGTTTTTTCTTGATTGAATCAATTTGTGAGGGAGTGGTCGAATAGATTTAATTGTTTGGTGTGCCTTTTAAAGGTTTATAAAAATGCTTTCTTGCTGTTAGTTAATTGGCGTTGAAAATTCTGGTTCCGGCAGGAATTCTTACAAGTGAAGGTTTAACTTTCAGTTCTGCTATCTGGTGATTGCTTCATAAATTTGGTGAAGTGATGAGAATGTCAAGCAATGAAGTGTAGATTTGAGCAATGGGTTGTGTACTTGGTCGTGAGGCTTCTTCGCCTGATGTAAGAAATGAGTCTAAGGAACGGAGGAGGGATGCTGCAAATCATGAGAGGAAGCATAGGAATTTGGTTGTTGAATCAAATGAGGTGCCAGGGGCTGCAGCTATAGTTCAGGTAGATAATGGCAATAATGGCGTCCAAGTCAATGCCAACGAGGAGGTCAAGGAGGAGAAGGTAGAAGGTGATCCAAAGCCAAAGGGTGAAAGGAGAAGGTCAAAGGCAAATCCTAGGTTAAGTAACCCCCCTAGGCATAAATATGGGGAACAAGTTGCTGCTGGATGGCCGTCTTGGCTATCGGCTCATGTTGGAGAAGCAATTGAGGGTTGGCTTCCTCGTCGTGCTGACACTTTTGAAAAGATAGATAAGGTGGGTTGTTCAAATGTTTGAATTGCATAAATTATATTCTTAGCTGGTAGAAATGAAATCTATCTTCTGCCATTGAGTTACATCTTTTATGTATGTTGCAGATTGGATCAGGAACATATAGCAATGTGTATAAAGCAAGAGATACTATTACCGGTAAAATTGTTGCCCTTAAAAAAGTGCGATTTGATAACCTTGAACCTGAAAGTGTGAGATTCATGGCTAGAGAAATAATCATTCTGCGGCGATTGGATCATCCAAATGTGATAAAATTGGAGGGTCTGGTTACATCAAGAATGTCCTGTAGTTTATACCTTGTTTTTGAGTACATGGAGCATGATTTAGCTGGACTAGCTGCTAGTCCAGAAATAAAGTTTACTGAACCACAGGTTAGACTTGTAGTCTCGGCAATTCTTTTTCACTATCATTTTTTCTGATTTTGGAAATTAGGTGTTATATTTTTCGGTATCCATCGCAGGTTAAATGCTATATGAAACAGTTATTGTCCGGATTGGAGCATTGTCACAAACGCCATGTGCTGCACCGTGACATTAAAGGGTCAAACCTTCTCCTGGACAATTCAGGCATACTCCGGATCGCTGATTTTGGATTGGCTACCATTTTTGATCCGAACCACAAGCACCCAATGACTAGTCGTGTAGTTACATTGTGGTATCGTCCTCCAGAGCTTCTTCTTGGTGCTACTGATTATAGTGTGGGCATCGATTTGTGGAGTGCGGGATGCATTTTGGCTGAGTTATTGGCAGGAAAGCCTATTATGCCTGGTCGTACTGAGGTAACGATGTACTTTGCTTAGCAGATTTTGTTGCTCTTTTTTCCCCTCTCCGTAGACCTGTTTTTGCTGATGATATCTGTGATTGCATGATTTATTCTCTGCCTCATGAATCTTTTTTCTTTTTGATGCTCCCATCTCCTGCAAGTATCTGGAAGCTTTAATTCTATTTAGATTTATTCGATGTTTTTCTTTTCAAGTTCTTCGATTATAGCATATTCTCTTTGAGGTTGTAGTAGTGGGTGAGCACCGCCCTTAATGCATAATTTTTTGAAAGAATTCTTATCATAAAAACAGAAGCTAAGTGGACGACTTTTGTACTTTTCATATTAATTAGGGCTTGGGATAAAGTATCTGTTTATATGGTTTCTGTTATTTAGGTTGCCTTGATGTAAACTGTTTATTGTAATTTTTTCTTTCAGTGTTCAACATGAAGATGTTTTTTTTCCTTTCCTCAATATTCATGATATTTTTAGCTTTAAGATGCAGTGATGCACTGCAATGAAGTTATATAGAGATAGATAAACGTTAAAGACTGTATCTTGGCTGCAAAGAAATAGATAGAGCGTAAGTGGGATGCTCTTTTTGATGGGGTATATGCGTGGAAATCAATTATCAATAAAATTAGGAAATAAATTATTAATGCCTTTAAAAGTTTGGTTATTTTTATTTTTTTAACTGTATGTTAAGCTGTTTCATGCGGGTCAGTAAATATACTGTAGATACATGATATTTCAAGGAAGAATTGCTGTCTGTTACCCTTTAGGATTGGCGTGTACATTAATGTTTAATTGATTAGTTACATGCGTTTTGTTTCTCCCCTTAGGATTTTGTCAGTATGGAATGTTTTGGAGGGCTACCAGCTTGATCATGTTTCAATCAAAGTTTATAATACACCACTGCCCCTGACATAATACACTTCATTTGACAATTTTGTTTTCTATGGGTTGAAGATTTTGCATGACTTGGCATCTTGTAATTCTGTACATTAGACTTGTGTCAAATGGTCAGTCTTTTAGGTGATGCGATAAACTTACTTATTCTAACTTTTTAAGTACTTATTTCTATGTTTGCAACATGTTTTACCTTTACTGCATGTGGATGTCACTCCTGATTCCCATTTATAGACTAGTAAATAAGAAATTTCTTGGGATCCTATGTAGTTTTTCAGCAGCTTTCATTGAAGTTATTAATTGCATCATTTACGATTGAAGTTGTATGAACTTGTATGGTTTTCAAGCTTCATCTATACATTACTGTGAGTTCCGTGGTGGTCACATGTTTGTTTTTGCAACTGCATGGGTCAGTATCATTTAATGGTTTGGTCTTAAGTAGCTACCATTTGCGCTGTCATATTTTAACTTTCAATCCTTCAAATCCATGTCGTTGTTTGCAAACAATGCTTGGCCGTAGATTGCTCGTATATTCGTCTATTATTCAGGGTAGCAGTGAGTAATATCCTTGAGACTTGATAGGAAACCATAAAGACATTGGTGAAGATGAGGCATCGAAGATAGGGGATTAGGGTAGGACAGTTCAGCTGACTGAATGAATAATTAAGAAGTAATAGAAAAGAATACTAGTCCCTGGGATTTTTTGTGGTGGAATGTCTTCGGCGCCATCTATGTTGTTTCCTTTGTTTACTTCTTATCTCAAGATGTGATAGGAGCTGTTGGGCCCATCATGCATTGCATTTGTGCATTCAGAATTGAACGAAAATCAGAACCTCAAAGGCCTTGTTGGGGAGTTTTTATTAAGAGCAACAAGTCACAGGATATCTCTTATGAGAACAAGAAACATAAATATACTTGATCTCACTTCTTCCTTTCCTCGGATAGAAATGACTCAAATTTGAGTTTTCTGCTTCAGTCTTCCTTTGATTTATCTCTGTACAATCAATAATTTGTATGCTTTTGTTTCACTACAGTCCTATACTCCTGTAGAAACTGTCTTGGCACTTCCTTGGTAATATATAGAGATTTTATCACATTGTTATTAATGCGAGTATTTTTCTGTCACAAGGTAGAACAACTGCATAAGATATATAAGCTTTGTGGGTCACCTACTGAGGAGTATTGGAAGAAGTGCAAGCTTCCAAATGCAACACTATTTAAGCCCCGAGATCCTTACAAGCGATGTATTAGGGAGACCTTTAAGGACTTCCCTCCATCATCTCTGCCACTGATTGATACCCTCCTTGCGATTGACCCGGAACATCGAAAGACAGCAACAGATGCATTACAAAGTGAAGTAAGTTTTGTAGTTTTAATCAGACCCTGCTTGGTAGTTTTGTTTTGCACACCTTTAAATACTGTTACATTTTTTTTTTCTTTTTGTTAATCTTATTTAATTTTTTGTGTGTGCCTGAATGAAGAACTCATCGTAGCTGTTGCTCTGGATATGAATATTATTTTTATTGCCGTTTAACTTGACATTATGTGGAATAATAGGACTAGAAAATTTATAGAATCTTGAGTGTGAATATCTGAATTCACTTTCAGAAGCTGAAATGCTTATGGTTTCAAGGTTCTGATTGCTCTTATTTTTTGTGGCCTTTCATCTCTCTTGTCATACCTGGAACATTTATTCATGCAGGGTGCTGGACATGTACAAATACCGTGTAATCTTTTGAAAACTTGCAAAACAATTAATAGCTTCAGCACTCTGAGTTGGATGTTTATGTTGCAAAAATTATCTAATTCTTGGGTTAAGTTAAATTCTTGAGAACTTGTGAACTACAGCAGTGACAGCTATCAAGACTTGTAGGCTATCTTACCATCATGTTTTAAAAAATGCATTTTCCTATAGAAGCTTACATATCAGGTTCTTTTTGTAGTTTCTTTCCCATTCAATATAGGTGTTGCACTTCTTTAATAATTTGAGTGATATTTGCTTTCTGTCTATTGCATTTGTTGCTTATTCTATCCGTTTCGTGTCTGCACATCCATCTCAACAATTCTTTTCCTCAATCGTCATTTTAGTTCTTGTTCACATTCATCTCAACAAATCTCATTGTAAAGTGATACTCATTTTTTGAAAGATTGTACTTTGAATGTCAGTTGTAAGTTTTGTGCCTTGTAACCAAAAGTGGTGAAGGCTAGATATTTGACCAAGTTAATTTGCTTAAGTTCTCAAGGTTCAATACAGAAGATGACATTAGTTCTGCTTTATTTGGGTGCATGATTTCGTTTGCTCCTGCCTTGTGCTGTACTCTTCTGTGCAAGACAACAGCAATTAGCCAGCATCTGAACAGATCTCTGTTCTAGTTAAATGAATGTTTTCTTGCCTTGTATCCTGTTCTCTCCAATGAGACCTCTTCATCTACTCTAATGTTTCTCATTAATTTCTGTGAAGATTTCCAATGTAGCGACTCATAATCAGTTCGCGGGTGTGAGATCTTAATAGTAGTGTTCCACATACTCATGAGAGTTTATTTCTACTTGTAATTGGCTTCCTCCAGCCTCGTTGCATTTTGGCTTTATTATTATTTCTTCTTTCCTTTCTGTAGATGTGGTCTATAGACACATACTTTTGGTCAATATAGCAAAATTGTTTGCTTTTTTCTCTAGTATTCATTTCAGATCTGGTCAAAGTGTTCATTGGTCTGAATATGGGGCTACAGTAATTTATAATTTTAGAATTTCCTGAAGTGAGCAATCATCAACTAGCTTTCTCACTCACATTCCTGATAGGTTCTTTGCATGAATTCTGATGGCGTTTTTCCCACTGAGGTGAATTTATGAATTTTGTACTGAGTTTTACATTTTCGCCTCGAGATTTCATTGGCCCTTTTGTTTTGCAGTTTTTCACAACTGAACCTTATGCTTGTGATCCGGCCAGTCTGCCACAGTATCCGCCTAGCAAAGAGATGGATGCCAAGCGTCGAGATGATGAAGCTCGAAGGTTGGGTGGCTTTAACATCCCTTTGTTTTTTCCTAGGAACTTTGGTTTTGCATTATGTTGTACTTTTTGGTGTTTCTCCAAAGTGCGTTCTTCTCTCGAATTGCCTACGTTCAAGGAGCACAGGTTCAGCCAGCCTAGCCATTGGTGTAATGTTGAAACATAGTATGAAATTAAGGGATTAAGCTTTCAAAGTTCTAATTAATCTTGTTCAGTTCCAAGCCTCGAGAATTTTGATATAATTGTCTCCAACATGCACTTTTGCTTTTGCTTCTGGGGACTAAAAGTGAACGGAGTTTGTTCATTAGTTCCATATGTACTGTCAGTACCAACCAATTCTTCACATGCATAGTTGGTTTTTCCTTTCATTGTTCACTATCTCGTTATGTCTTTTTCACATGCACATTTGGAGGTTTCCTTTCAGTTTTCATCATCTCATCATGACATCAGTCATTGTCAGTTCTACTCATTTGTTTATAACATATGACCAAATGTATATTTGCTATAACAATATTTCTCCTATTCACAGACAAAGAGCTGCTAATAAAGCACAGGGTGATAATCCTAAGAGAAACCGCACTCGTGCTGCCCGGGCGATTCCTGCACCTGATGCCAATGCTGAACTGCAGTCTAATCTTGATGTAAGCTTACTTTTCTTTCTGCTAAATACCTGATTCAGTTTTTACTTTTATCTACTTCCTTTCCTCTGCTTTAATTGAATATAGATAAGTCTGTGGACAGCAGTTGAAAGCATACGAGGAACTACAGTCTGCTATGATACTTCACTTTTCTTCAGGGTGCACCTAAGTGAAAACTTAATCATCTGAAAACCTTTTCAATTGATAATTACTACAAGACAGTTAAAATATTTCTTGAATTGATTGTAACCCTTTTATGTGCCAGAATGTTAAAAATTTCTTATTTTGAATACTACTTAGAGTAATAAACGTGCAAGAACTCGGAGAAAATCCTACTCAATAATTCAGGTTTTGAGTTTATCGCATGATCAGTATCAGTATGTCGGTTCCTTTTCTCAGTAGGTTTTGTTTATGTTTTTTAAAAATTTAATTACTATATGTTTATACATTCCCAATACAACTTTACATTCCCAACCAAAAGAACACACACTAAAGAACAACCAAATAGGGTTGTCTTTGCTTCAATGACACAATCACTCCAATCATACATCATCTTGATGACAAAATACTGTAGTTCCCACTTTTAGATTGCCAAGATCTTGCCTCATGGATTGCATATAACATAAAAATATATATATATGTATATTAAAATTTGGAGTCGTAGAGACAAGCTAGAATATTGACTGTCTTTGTCTAGATTTTCATTTTAGTCCTTTGATTCTATTCTATAAAATTCATCCCCTGTAACTTAAGATGTAATGATTGTGCTGCGAGTGCATACAACCCTTATGTCGTGTGCTAGAATTCAGAGTTGACTTCTTTACTCTATGGATAGGGTGTGGAATGGTGATTTGTAGCCTTAATACTCTACATATTCTGGTAGAGGAGAGTCCTGTAGGGTGGATTAAGTCAAGCTCTACCTATGTTCTTCGCTCCTTGTAAATACCGCCCAAGTATTTCTTAAAGTGTCACAACCATTCCTAGACATCCGAAGACAAGAAAAATAGTGTCTTTCTGTGAAGAATGATCAATCTAGAGTAGTCGATACAGTTAGAAATACTAATACAGTAATTTTTTGCACAGGATGATGATGGTTGAATTTAATGGAAAATTGACTTGTGTATTTCCTTCCTATACATAATGCTTGTTTCTATTCCTGTGCTTGAACTGGCTTTCCTCTGTAAAGCAATAAGATAAAATAGTTAAAGCCATGTGAGAGAGCAATAGAAGTATTACTGGAACTTTGATTCTTATGCTATGATAAAAGAAAGGGGAGCTCTTTGTTAACTGCTGCATTCTTGTCGCATGGCTCTGTAATAAACGACCCACTTTGAGTGTAAGTAACCTCTTAGATTTGAAGAATGGAAGAAGCTGAATGTAATAAACCAAAGTACCCAAATTTTCATTATCTAAATTGTTATGATACGTATTAATTGCAAACTCATTGTATCCTTTGCATAATAATATACCCTGGTTCTGGCGTACATAGTTATTGAAAATCTCAGTTACCATTGCCCTCCTGAGAGCATGTATCATCAGATTTCGGAGGAATTGATCCGTCTGTAAAAATAATTAAGTATGAAGTTGAAAGCTAACTCAATTCAATGTACTTGACTGTATTTTTGTTGTGAGTTCACATCCTTGCTTCTGTTATCTCCCGTCATTTAGTTAAGCTCATTGCTCATTCATGGTGTGTACCATGCAACTTGTATGTCAGCTATGTCACCTCTCATTTTTTTCCCACCTTGGTTGATTATATTTTGTTTTTTATGTTTCTTGTTTTCTTAAGCAGCGGCGTCGTTTGATCTCGCATGCAAATGCTAAGAGCAAGAGTGAGAAGTTTCCCCCACCACACCAGGATGGAGCATTAGGTGTTCCATTGGGTGCTTCACATCATATTGACCCGTCCCTTGTACCTCCTGACGTGCCATTCAGTTCCACCTCGTTCATTTATTCGAAAGAACCTGTTCAAAATTGGTCTGGTCCAATTGTAGACCCTGGTAGCGGCGGCGGTAGACGAAAGAAGAATTCTGGAAATGATGCACGGGAGTCCAGAAAAACTTCTACAGGAAGGAAAGATAGAAAATAGCAATTTTTTCAGGGTGATATAGAAAAGGCAATATTGGAAATAGATTGTCAAGCTATATATGGAGGAATCAGATTTAGGCCCTGACCACGGGAAACCTTGGATTCATTATGCAGAGCTTTCATATTTCCTAGCGGATGAAGCTGTGTCGGAGTAGTCTGTTCAGCAATCAAGGTTGTTGGCCCATCCATTTTTCCGTAAGTATAAAGTCATAGTTTCTTTTAGATTTGTTCTGGGGGGCTTTGTGGCTTCCCTTGTTACTGTGTATATGTTTCGTCTTTGGTCAGTTCCTAAATTTTGAGATCATTGTGCATCTGTTTATTTATTCAAAATATTTTGCATAAAGATGGCTGCTCGTTCTTTCTTTTTGCCCCCTTGAATTAGACAGACCAGCTTTACATCTGAAATAAGTTTTTAAGTTGATAATGAGATGCCTTCTTATTCTAATAGCACAGTACATGGATACGTGACATTAATTGAGCGTCATGGCTTGATATGTAGAGAGGGCTTCTTTATATTGATCTATCACGATGGCAATTGCCCAGCATGATGTGATAAAAATCTGCCTTTTATCTGCTGCCTCTATGCATGATGTGTTTCTCTTCCCTTTGTTAACTCGTTAATGTTGTGGTTGCCGCCAATGTGTTTGTATGATTGATAAATTGAGAGGATCAGAGAATCGTATTTGCCCGTATCCCGTTCATTAGTAATGATCAATGTATTTACTGCATTGGCCTTACGCCATGTCTTTTAAGTTGCTTGAAAGTTGAAACCTTTCAGGTGAACTAGGTTCAAAAGTGTATATGCATAAATTTTGAGTAGCAGTTTTAATAACGCTGTGCGGTCCATACAGTCAGCTGCTCAAGAATATTGAATCAAAGGGCAAACCCACAAGCACTTCCCCTCGTATTAATTTGGACTTATCAACCATGTGAGAGTTTTTCATATTTTTTTGTTCTTGTTTTGAAGATAGGATGATATCTGGCGAGGCATAACTTTAATTTTAGTATAAGAGAGAAAATGTGGGCAGTAACAACCACCACCCAACATGGTTCTAAAGAGATTTTAGAAACTTAAGCTGAAGCCCAAGCTCGAAGAAAGATGGACCGTGTAACTTGAACACAAGGAAAGGCCAATATATGTGTCTCCTGAAAACTAATACTATGTTGTACACATTATGCCCTTCATTAAACGCACAAATATGTGTTTCATTAAACTATAGCGGTCATTTAAATAAAAACTATACATAAATGATTCATAATTTTATTTTTGTCTTATAGGAGTATATTTCTTTTTTAGTGCGTAGAATCATTTTATTCTGAATAACTAATTGATTAAAAATTTTTTAAACTCAACCCAAATTAACAACACCAAAACTCATTAAAAAATATATTACAATCTTTCCAGAAAAATTAACTCACATAATTTAAGATTGTTTTTTTTTTTTAATTCTTTGACCTCAAATGGAGCTTAATATTTTAAGTTGCATCTCCATGGGGCGGGGCGGGAGAGCGGTGAGCACAATTCGATTCTATCTTCATCCTACTTACTCCATCTTTACCAATTCATTCACTTTTTTACACTTATTTTAGTTTAATCACATAAAATTATAGTGAATCAATATTTAGCGGCCGAACTACGTTCACTCCCATGTTCACAATTCAATCTTCCTCGTTCCTTCTTTGTTCCTTCTTTTTGGTATTTCTTCGCAACTTTATAGGTTTTTTGTATATTCATTTCAATTTTCAACCTAACACCATAATTAGATCTAAATCCATACAAAGTTAGGATCCATTCGATAACATTTGGTTATTACTAAAATACAAATGTTGAAATTCATGAACTCTTAATCTATTCAGAGGTTTATTTTTATTATCGAACATACTGAAATGGAGAACATTTTATTTGAATAATTTTAAACAATAAATTGTTAAATCAAACAAGCCATTAATTATAGTGACATTACGACACCAAATGCCAAAAACTTTTTTTTATTAAAGAAAAGGTAAAAGAGTAGTTAATACTTCTTATATCCCTCCCCCAAAAAAATCTTTTTTCGGACGGAGAAATCATTTATAAATCATTATTTTAACCCTTCCCAAGTGTTTTGAAGTAATAAAATATATCTCATTCACATAAATAATTGCAACCCCATGGGTTAATGTTACAATTGATTGTCTTCCTCCCTTATAAAGGATATTCAAAGTCAACATTTATAATTAGTAGAATTTTCAGCAGTTGACGCCTTCAACCATGATTATTATTTTTCCTTGTATTCTCTCAGTCTTGAGAACACGTTCCGTACGCTAACATTTGAGTACTAAAATTCTAATTTTTTTTTTAGGACAAGGAGAGTCCTTTTTTCGGTTTTTTTTTTTTTTGGTGCTTTTGAGTCTCAGACTAACTGGCTGGCTGTCATTTGCCTTAGACCTACGGATTACAAAATTGGCAAAACTGGTTCATTTTCAAAGGAATCCCTAATGTAATGATCCGTCAAATGTTCTTTCTAAGTGTACGAGAATTTGGGCTCCACCAGAATGATTATAGTATCCCTTTCATCTCATTTTAGTATTCTTTCCATATTTCAAGAAAAATATTGCAATTTTATATAAAAAAAAATTTGTTGTAAAAAGATTAATTCAAAATTAACTTGATTAAAATGACTAAAATATCATCATTAACTTTGGTTAAAGTCTTAAAGTACGTAATCATTAATATCGTGATTAAGAATTAAAGCAAGTAAGAACAGTATTAGAAGCTCATGCGCCTAGATGAATATAACGTCTTCTAGTCTTCTAGACGGGTACGGCGTACGCAGTTTACGTGTGACAATGACAATCAGCCAATCAGGTAAAGAAGTCCAGAAATGTTTCAAATAAAATAATAATAATAATAAATAAATAAAAAGATCGAGGTAGAGAAAGGAAGTAAAAATTAAATAAATAAACACATAAATTACAAAGGGAATTTAATTACAGTAGATCGATTCTGTGTAATTTTTCGTGACATTTGTTGAAAAAAATCGTGGGAAATCAACTGAAGGAGAATTTTATTGTCAAAAGGTTGGAGAATATGAAGGTATGAATAAATTTGTGTCCACCATGTTAGACCACTGCTAATTATTACTCCCTCCGTCCCAAAAATATTGTCCAGTTTGAGTTTTTATTTTTAGTAAAAATGAAAACTCAAACTGGACAATATTTTTGGGACGGAGGGAGTAATAATTAGCATGAACTAAAATTGAAAATTCAAACTGGACTTTGAACTAAAAATGAAAACTCAAACTGGATAATAATTTTGGGACGGAGGAAATATTAAATTCGGGATCGAGATTTGGACGTTTAATCTACGTTTACTCAATTTTAGGATTTACAAGCCCAGAAGAACATATTTTTCTACGTCAACCGCTGGAAATTGGAAAAACTGTCAGTCAATCAGAAAAGAAAGAAATAAATTGACCATATCAACAAGGAGTTTATGAACGTTGACTAAAGAAAAAAGAAATATTTAATTTCTTAAAATTTTTTTTATGTGAGAGTATCAAAGATATATGAATAATTGTTTTATTTTTTCCTATTTGAAACAGCTATTAGTAAGGATACGTGCCAAGGCAGAAATCTTATTCTCCCATGTAAATTTAAGTTCAAAAAAAAAAAAAAATTATGCAAAGAAAGAAATTGAAAGAAACATTAATTCCTAAGATTAATCCTTAACCCATGAAAAATTAATTCCTATTAATCCATAAACTCAAGAAAATTGGCCCGAACACCATAAATTTTGCTTACCGGTACGCCCTACAGTCTCCCATTAAAATGCAATTTCAAAAAGTATTTTCCTTCTCCTAATTCTTAAAGTTATACGAAATAAAACTTCATTCTAGAACAAAAATCATCATAAAAATATATCATCTTTTATAATTACACATCGATCTTCCATAAACAGTGTCCGCACAAATGCCTGGTCTGTGGCACTAGTTGTACTTAATAAATTCAACTGTTATACTTCAGGGCTCAAGCGCAGACACCAGGATTTATTCAATCAAACAAAATAAATTGGCACCCTTTTCCCAGTCTTGAATGTTTCTATATATATGCACACTCTAGTCCCTAGTCTCAAAATGATTGTCATATTTAAATTTTTCTTTTAGTATAATTTATACTAAAAAAGTTATATTCAATCAAACAATCATTTCAGTACTGAACGAGTGCTACATATCATTAGAGTTGGTTGAAATAGATTCTCTAAATTGCACTCCTATACCACACTAGCTTCAAACATTTTCAATGCGCAAAATATCTTTCACAATAATTTTGTTATGCTATGCCAAAATAATTAATTAAACTAACCGCTTGTATATTAGGATTTTCTTTCAATTTGTGAGATATTAGTATTAATTAGTCTCACAAAGAGTGTAATATAAAATTGTGACGGGAGATAATATATATACCTTTTTAGAGTCAACAAAAACAATTACCTTCGAATTTCTTTATATTATTATCTCTTACACTAGCTAGCAAGACAAAATTTATCAATTCACAGCAGACTATTTTGACAGTCGCCATATTTTATACGGGTGGTTCAATTCTAAGAAATCTATTTTCAAAAGGAAAAAAAAAAAAATTCTAATAAATCGTCCTGACACGGAGACTCGTATAAATGTCAACCCATCGAGAAGTTCACACGCGGAATAAATTTAATTTCGCTATGTTTACTGCATATATACTATTAACAATATACACACTCATCAGGGTTTAACCAAAAAAAAAAAAACAATATACACACTGAAAAAATGCAGTTCACGTCCCTATAAATACTTCTTCCAAACTCAATTCATCAACTACATTACCTTCTCTCAATCTTCAAATTCCCATTCATTCGTTTTGTTTTTTCCCCCTTGAATTCTGAGGTGTTTACTTAAGTATATATAACATGGAATTACCAACAATGACGAGGACCTTCAACGTGAGGAGGCAAGAGGCCGAGCTGGTTTTACCAGCTCGCCCTACTCCCACCGAAACCAAACCCTTATCCGACATTGATGATCAAGAAGGTCTACGCTTTCCGATGACCTTCATACATTTTTACCCGAAAAACGACAAGAAGCAAGAAGACGATCCTGCGAAAGTGATCAAATCAGCGTTAGCAGAGGCACTCGTATCTTATTACCCATTTGCCGGGCGACTCAAGGAATTACCGGACAAGAAGCTGGTAGTAGAGTGTACCGGAGAAGGCGTGTTGTTTGTCGAGGCGGATGCCGATGTGACGTTGGAGGAGCTCGGGGAGGAGATTCATCCCCCGTTTCCTTGCTTGGATGACTTGTTGTTTGATGTACCGGAGTCCGATGGGATTCTCAACTGTCCTTTGCTCACGATACAGGTATACATACAACTATTGCCTTTTCTTTGTTAGAAAATAAAAATATTTTTATAGATTTCTCATAAGTGAAAGTTAATTTTTCCGAATGGAAATAAAAAGAACTTGTTCAGAAAACATGCCGTTCCAGTACGTTATTTCGACAAAATTTACCACATACTATATATATAATGTTCAGAATAGACTATATATTCTTACCCCCAAAAAAAAAAAAACACCTTATGACTACATTAATCTATATTATATAACGAATTAATCTAGTTTTATTTTTAAAAAAACATGTGTGTACTCTTTCTGTTCCGCAATTTTAGTTCATATTTTTAATTTGTAAATTATAGTACTAAAAACAGTATATCAAAAAATTACAATTTGAACTAATGAGACGGAGGGAGCGTTTAAATTTTTTTCTTTTTTTTTTTCAAAAAAATAGAGCACGAAAAGTGCATATCATTACTAGATTGAATCACAAAGGTTAAAACCAATATTTTGAAAGTCAAACATCTATTTAAATTTCCATCTCTACCAATATTTAAATATTTAAAACCAATATTTTAGTTCCATACAAAAGTTTGATTGATGAAATTAGTTACGGCCGCCAAAAACAGTTTTGCTAATTATTTGACTGAATTTCCAAATTTCTTCTGTTTAAAAAAAAACAAATTTACTTTGACCAAATGTCATTGACTAATCCCATGATGACTTTTTTGCATGGTGGCAGGTGACGCGTCTTCGATGCGGCGGTTTCATCTTCGCTCTCAACCTGAACCACACCATGGCCGACTCCCTCGGCCTCGTCCAATTCGAGAACGCCATCGCCGAAATAGCCCGAGGAGACTCCTCTGGCGTCCCGTCTGTAACGCCGGTGTGGGCCCGGGAGCTCCTGAACGCGAGAAACCCTCCCTCGGAAACTTGCACCCACCGCGAGTTCATCCCCATTTCCAACACCAAGAGGACCATCTTCCCCTTCGACCCCCGCGAGTTCGTGCACAAATCCTTCTACTTCAGCCCGGAGGACATCGCCGCCCTCCGTTCCTCCCTCCCGTCCGAGCTGAAATGCTCCACCTTCGACGTCCTCATCGCTTGCCTCTGGCGCTGTCGCACCATCGCCCTCGAATTCGAACCCGACGAGGAAGTGAGGACGCTTTACTTCATAAACGCTCGTTCCCGGTTTAACCCTCCCTTGCCGGAAGGGTTTTACGGGAACGCCATCGCTTCCCCACCAGTGGTATCAACAGCCGGAGAACTCATTACTAACCCGCTCAGCTACGTAGTTGAGTTGGTTAGAAAACCTAAGGCGGAAGTTACGGAGGAATACATGAAGTCTTTGGCGGATCTCATGGTTCTACGAGGGCGTCCGAGGCTGACGTTGGTGTCCACGTACATGGTTTCGGACTTGACGAGGATCGGGTTCGATGACGTGGATTTCGGGTGGGGAAAACCGGTTTACGCCGGTGCCGCCAGAGCGGCGGCGGAGTTGATACCCGGGGTGGCTACTTATTTTTCGCCCAGGGTGAGTAAGGAAGGAGAGAAAGGAGTTGTTGTTCCAGTTTGCTTGCCCAAATTGGCCATGGAAAAGTTTGCTAAAGAGGTTGCTTCAATGGTGAAGAGGAACATTTAGGATGAGATATTCATCATGATTGAGCGCAAACGTATTCGATGAAGGATTTTGATTTCATTTTTGCAACCTTATGTGACATCAATAAAAAAAAATTATTTATTCTGAATTTCTGTATTTTCTGGATCATTAAAAAATATGTAATTAGAAATTGAAATCGTCCAATCATCATATTTATTTTCTTTTGGTTCATTGTTATATTTTCATGGCAGATGGGTGTTTTTTTATAATTTTGTTTTTGGACTTTGTCGATGTGCAGACACTTATTTCCAATAAATATGACTTGGTCAGTACAGTTTAAGAATCAAATGACAAGATTGTTGTTGACTTTTCAATGGTTATTTCAAAATATTTTTGCTTAATTTGACTGAGATTAATTATTACGAGACCAAGTACACCATTTGACTGCAATAGTAAATGACATATATGGAATTTGATAAAGTGATTGTCTACTTCAGTGAACATCCTCACAATTCACAAACCTTCTCTTGCTTCTGTTTTTTCTTCACTTTATTATTTTTATATTTCGACTAATGAAAGGAGTAAACCCTTAAGCTTTCAGCACGACCAGAAAACTAGTATATATCCTCTTAAATTGTATTTTCTTTGTCCTAAAACAATAATTGATATAAAATTTTGAAATTTGTAATGTTTTTAGTATAAACTTTAAAAATTAATATGGACTATTTTTTGGAGAAAGTGGTAGTTTTGGCTTAACTTACTTTTGACGGATATTTTCCAAAACTTTCCCATTTCACAGTTGACGAGTCCGTATCCATCACCGAGACTGGACCGGCCCACCAACTGTAGAAAGAGTTCAACCGGGACTCTTAGGGCGGTGGAGATTCCTGAAACCTAGTTGGATTCGGGAATTGCCCAGGTAATTTCATACCTATAAATAGGGTAGCTCATACCACGGTACAGGTACGCAATCTATAGCTTAATAAACTATATGCTTATTTTCCAGCAACTCTTTTACTGACTTAAGCATTGGAGTGTCTACCCTCGGGAGACCCCGATACCCTATTTTGCAGGAAACCCTAGCTGGAGTTCCACCTCTAAACCGGCGGCGTGTATCCAAGCATCGTCAAGTGGCACGCCCGGTGGGACCCAAAAACTAGGGTTTGTGTCACAAAAACCTTCTCAGATTCCCTTAACATCTCCCCATAAAAACTAGGGTTGCCGGAACAATCAACGCGATATCATCGGCCCTTTCATCCGGAGGGGGTAGGAGTAAGATGGGTCATTGTAGCAGTAGACTACTTCACCAAATGGGTAGAAGCCAAGCTCCTGGCCTCGATCACAGGGAGGAAAGTCTTGGACTTTTTCTGGCAGAACATAGTATGCCGTTTTGGAATCCCGAAGGTTATCGTCTCCGATAATGGGACCCAATTCGAGAGCAATACTTTCAAGTCATGGTGCGATGAAATGCAGATCGAGCGCCGCTTCTCAAGCGTAGCTCATCCCCAAGCTAATGGGCAAGCCGAATCCATCAACAGAACAATACTGCATGGGATCAAGACCAGGTTGTATGACGCTAAGGGGGCATGGGCCGACGAGCTTCCCCACGTCCTATGGTCATACCGTACAACTGCCCACTCCTCGACCGACGAGACACCATATAGCCTAGTCTACGGCATGGATGCCGTCCTCCAAGTCGAAATAGGCTTGTCGACTCCTCAAACCATAAACTTCGTCGAAAGTACCAATGATGATGACATCCGACTAAACCTTGACCTGCTCGAGGAACGTCGAGACACCGTCAGAATCCGGGAAGCAAAGTACAAAGAGATTCTACGCAGACATTACAATAAGAAGGTGAAAGCCACGGATCTTGCTGTGGGCGACCTCGTGCTAGGAAAAAACGAGGCCAGCCGAGCAGAAACTCCTGGAAAACTTACTGCAAATTGGGAAGGGCCTTACAAGGTTATCCAGGCTTCCCCAGCAGGCAGCTACCGCCTACAGGCCATGGATGATAACGGAACTGTTCTTCCTCAATGGTGGAACATTCAGAATCTTCGCAGGTTCTATGTTTGAGTCTTTGTCCTCTATTTGCCTATTATGTGTTTTATTTGCTTTATTTACCCAGTCAGTTTTATACTATCATATGTAATGCTAACCCGGGTCCTCGGAAAATTATTCAATAAAAGACATTACATATTCTTTTCATTAACAATCAATGCATTCATGACTAGTCATCGAGATGGACTCCCTCTTTAGGACTATCCTCGTTCAAGAGCCGTGTACTCAACATCCGGACACAAACTCGAGGAATTTCCCTCACACATACTACTAAACGCAGTGTCAAATCAAGAAATTCGTATCCAATTCCTATGATAGAGCCGTGTACTTTACATCCGGTCTAAAAAGTGCTTTATAAATCAATACTCGAGTAAAATTAGCAATAATTCATTCCACACTACTGTGCGAACTCGTAGAAAGTACATACATTCTCCTACACTATTACAAGGACCTCCCTGACAGGATTGTCGGAGGAGGGATGAATAATCCCCTTATACCCATGTAGGCTAAGGAGATTCACACACTGATTCAATTTATCCTTAAGGTCCACGATCTCTGTGTCCTGAGCGTGCACCCTCATCAACAGCTCTTCTCGAGAACTCCGAGTTCGAGGATCCACGGTTTCCTCCGGACGCTCGAAAGCCTCGAAGTCGATGTTGTTATCCAGCAGTAGATTTTGCAGTTGGGCAACAAAATCTGTAAGAAGCTCGATCTCACGAGATCTCTCTTTCAGTATATCCATGGCTGCGATAAAACGGCGAGTCCTGACCATAATCATGTGCTGGAATCGGGCTAACACTTGGTGCTTCTCGAGAAACCAGGGAGACATAGTAATCTGCTGTCTTGCCCTAAGTCGAGCATTCTCTTTCTCCAAGGTAACCAGCTCATCATGAATCTTGGCCTCGAAAGTCAACGAATCACTGTGGTTTTTCAGGCTTCGAACATCTCGACGCTGCATCTCCTTGCGGAGTCTTTTAATCTCGTTTATCAGGTCCTGGTTAACCTTTACATTGTGCGTCCTCATTGCATCGAGCAGGTCATTCTCTAAATGTGCCACCGTCTCGAGGCTAAGCACATCAGCACGACTTCTCAGAATCCCACTAATCATATAATATAATGGGAACTCCCTCGATCGCTCCTCCGACAACACCATGAGGTGAACACGGTGAACAGACCAACTTGCCTGTTTCACCAGAGGAGTATAAGACACTTACATCAAAGCAAAGAGAAAGAAAACAAAGGACACAGAAATAGAAGGGAGAAAAATGCTTGCGTAAATTTGTGAAAAAACGAAACAAAGAAATTAGTCCATTACAAAGAAAAGGAATAGTTAAAATGGCCTAGCAGCTATTACAAGGGGCAGGATTCATACAACATCACTGCCTTGAGGAGGGTCCTTGGAAGGATCCTTAGAAGGGTCCTGGGAGGCATCCTCGACAGTTCTCTGGACACCAGAATGGCCGGTGTCAACAACGTCCTCCTTGGTGGCTTCATCGGCGTCCTCGAGCTCGATGCCCATGTATTCGTCGGGTACCTCGGGTATAGGGTCTTCCTCACTTGGACCCTTAGCTAGGATAGCAGGAACGTCGTCTGGGAACGAGGCAATCTCCGCAGGGGAACTCATCTTCGCCATGGCACCGGTTAAAGCTCCCCACAGAGGAAGCTGCTCGAGGCTCAACTTTGTCAAGACCTTTACCATGGCTTCGTGCATGGTTTTCTTTGGGTCCTTCATCAGGAGCTGCTTGAACCATTTTGCCTTAATCGGCCTGTCCTGGTCGAGCCTCTTCAACCCTGCCACGCCAACTCGGTGCACTCCGCACTTGGTGGCAACCAAGTTCATCTCCTCGAGGGCTACAGCCATCCCTCCTGTAGACATCATTTTATTCATGAAGGCAGTACACCACTGATGTAGTTCCTCCTTGAAGATGTGCAGGCTAGCAAACGACTTCATCTTCTCATCAAGCTCATCATATTTAGCCTGCACCTTGACAATTTCAGCCTCCTTAGCCTGAACTTGGCGAGCTTTCTCCTCGAGGGTAACCACCTCGAATAACGCCTCGTCCCTTTCCGCCCGAGCTGTAGCCAGGTCTTCTCGAAGTTTCCTTAACTGCACTAGGTAGGCCATCAAGGCCACGCTTATCTGAACCAACATAGCATATCAGGAATACATTGATATACATATGCACTAATCTGGAAAATGACTTACCAGTCTCAGGCTGTCGGCTTCATTCAGCTGAGCAGCAAATATCTCAAGAATAGGACACTCGATTGACGATGGGTTGCTGAAGGTGTGAACTGCCACAGACGGGCCTCCCTCGAACAGCTGAGGGGGCAAGACTATTGCCTCTCCCTCGAGGGGGCCCTTCCCTTTCTCCGCCACTGGGGGAACTATGCTTGGCCCTGCTTCCAGCACAGGTTTCTGAACAGACTCAGTGGCAAGGGGCACCGTCTCGATACCCGGCTGTGTGGTTTCCTTCTAGGGCGCATCCGTCTTAGCTTTCTTGGATTTTGCCCTATTGCCCACCTTCACGATCCTCTTCTTCTTTTTCTTCTGAGGGGCAGCAGTGACAGTGACGTCCTTATCTGAATTCAAAATGACAAAAGGATCTTCGTCACCAAACAATCAAGACCCAACATTGCTCGACGACATGACCTAACAACGAAGAAGAAAAAAATAAAATGGTTAGTACCTTGATCTTCTTCAACAGAGATTTCGAGAGGAATTCTGGTTGCTCCCTCGACGTTGACCGTATCACTTTCCTTCGCATATACAGGAGGCACATAATATTGTACGTCGTTCCATTTAACGACCTTAGAATATTTCAGAATTTTCTCCACATCTGCCTGGAGCTCCTCGACGCACTCTTCATCCTCTTGGGTCCATTCATCCTTCATGACCCCGAGACCCTCTGTCTCTCGGAGATTCCATGGCAAGCAATAACTGAAGGGTGCCTTTACAAACAAAAAGTCCGGTTTCCATTCCGGGGAGCCGCCATACGCCTCGACCATCTTCTTCACGCCGGCTCTAAGGCGCCTTTTCACGATATACCAGTCCTGGAAAGAGGTCGAGGCTACCACTACTTGGAAGAAATACCTCCACAATACTAATCGAGGTATTACTTTTACATGTTGGCATATTCTCGTAAACCCAAGTACAAATGTAATTAAATTTGGGGTAAAACGAGAGAG